ATCAGTGTCATTTTGTGGGAAGGAAAATCTTTTACTCCACAGTTTAAATCCAAATCCTCCAAACTGTCTTCTTGCTCTCTTTGCATCTTTGCCAGACAGCCAGGTTTAATCAAAGCAGTCCCAATTGCAGGCTGCTTGTCAGATGGCTGAATGAGAGTACAACCCATACCATTAAATGTTCAGGCATGCTCAGTTTGCAGCAGCTACAACTTAGTATGTCCTCCTACATACACAAATACTTTGAGCTTAAATTTCTTGGGGGGAAAGGTGGTATCTCCCTTCTAATGACTTTGTATGAACCAGGCTTCTACTACTGACAGTAACATGCCTGGAGGAGAAAGAGCTAGCGATGTCCAGGTTCAGGTCCCAGTGAATGCGGCAAGACTGTTTCTCATGATGCAACAATATGGCATTAAATAGGCAGAACTGTCCAGGTTTGGGCCTTAATTTCCCTATATCCTTGACTCGTGGAGTCTCTTTAGTAGGTTCATGCTCTACATTTTGGAAGGAAGTACTTTCTGTCAGAAAAAGCAATATTTAAAATGCAATAATATCTTCTCTATAAACACAATTTTCCATATTTTGGTATAATATACATCATATCCCCATGGATAATTTTTCCAGAGTGAAGAGAACCATACCATAATGTTCTATTAGAAACCTCTGACTATTGAGAAATCTAAAACATTTCTAATGTAAACAGAAAGTCCTTAAGAGTATTGCTCATTTCTTGGTTTTCCGTTGCCCCAAACAACTCTGAAATACTGAAAAAGGTTACTTTACAGGAGGGGACCTCTGATCCTCATTGGATAAAAGCAATTGTATTTTGGAATGAATAATTTGCTTGGTGATAGCTTTTGGAATCTCCTCTTGTTTGTTTATTCCCAGAGTCTTTAACGTAACTGTGTGCTCAGATTTGGTTAGGAGGTGTGAAAATTCCTTAGAGGTCATTTTCCTGGCTCAGTGAGAACATTAAGAACAGAGGCAGCCTTTGAATGTCCAAAGCAGTATGTCAGGACTGATGGCTTAGCAGTCCCAGCGTTGCTCTCATTCTACTGCAGTTGACAAGACAGAAAATGTAACTTTGCTCAGTGCATAGCTTCGTACAGTTGAAAAATATTTATGCCCTTGAAAGATAGAGGAGGAGGACTGTTTTTCAATTAATATATTGTTTGTTGGTCAAAAGCCAGACTGTAACCTCATGTGGCACACTGGGAGGTATGCGTGTGTCTGTGACTTGTGTTTGTAAAATTTTCAAGAAAGTGCTCCTGTTGAATAGAAGTCATTTACCAAATCCAAATCACGTTTAAAATCAATCTACTGGTTTTCATCAATGCACAGTGCTCTTTGCCCCTAAGGTATGCTGCATTACCTGAAGTAACCTGCATACTCACAGGTGCCTATTTACACAGGTGAGCTTCCTCATAATACTCAGAAAAAACCCCAAACTTTATGAGTTTTCTTAAGCCAAGAACTGTTTTGCTTATAGAGAATCAGAGAGAATGAGATGTTGCAGATCATCTTCCTGGGTAGTAATATTATTTAAAACATCCTCACTAATGATCTTTTAAAACAGCTGTATATTCAATGAAACCGTTCTTCTTTTTACTACATAGTGTATTTTTGTTCAGTAAAAACTAAATCATACTAATGCTAATGCAAATCATGACATATTAATTACTTATTTCCCATAAATATTTCAATTATATGACTTCCTGGAGACAGAATATCTGAGAATGGAAAAGGAGAAGATTAAAGGAGGCATGGGTGGCAATATAACCTCCAACAATGCAAGTATCAAAACTGGATGAAAATAAAATTAACTACCTTACTGAAACTTCAGTAATATTGTACAGAGCTTGTAATGCAACTAATTTCTGTTTTATCAGTTGGTAAGGAAGTCTATTAAGTTTACAAGCAACCTGAAAAAGTCTTGTTAAAATGCCAAACAGAAGAATTCATATTTATGTTACAAATTTACTGTAGAGATAGTGAGGAGTATTTCATTGACCAAGAAAGCAAGCAAGAGACAAACAAAAAACTTGCAATAAAATGTTTCATTCAACATTTCCTTGATTTTTTTTTCCAGCTTATTGTACTTTTGTCATTCCTTAACCCCACACACATTTTAACAAATATTGTAGTGGACAATCAGACACAATAAATGATGTATTGAAGTTAAGTAAAAAAATTACTTCAGTCCACTGTAAAATACTTAATTAAACAATGTAAACATCACACAAAAGCCACTAGATTTTTAAAGACTGAAAATTCACTTTTTTGTTGCTTTTTTATAATTCAGCAGGTTTTTTAACATACTGGAAAAAATGTAAAAAAAGGTTCAGTATATTGCCATAATTATCATTCAGCTACATATTTTCCCACTAACTTGATATAATAATTAGAATTAGAATTAGACTGGTTGAATTAGAAAGAGTAAAGCAGTGATATCGAACCTTTTCAAACACAGGCCTGACCATAATTAATTCTTACCTTTGGGAATCATTGCAGTTTATCAAATTACCATTTACCATCTCAAACGTTAAAAGAGAAGGTATTTTAGCCTGCTTAAATGCAGGCTTGTAATTCTTGATGTACATTTTCATTTGCCTTCAATGTACAAAAATAACTGTGAAGTCCAATACATTATCAGAAAGGGCTGAAATACAGATCTTCCACTGCTCAAAAGACTGTCATTTGATTTGCTTTGTTGATAACTGAAGTGACAGTAATTAGATGTGAGGTTTTTCAGTTTTACTGCAGAGCTGGAAAAGCTGTCACTGGGAGGACAAAAATATAAAAAAATCTGGAAAAATTAGATCAGTAGATGTTGGTCTATGCAAGCTTGAAAGAAATAACAGTTTCAAAATCATTGAAAAATGGGAAGAAGAATGAGTATGGATATTTAAGTGTTTTACTTTAGAAAGGAGAAACTAAAAGCACAGAACTGCAGTAGGGAAGAAGAGTACCAGACTGATAGGTAAATGAAATGTATTTGAGATTTAAGGGTTAAAGCAAGAATTCTCTCTGAAAATTTTAAATCTGCTATAATTATAGTTATGTAAAACGATGATAATAACTACCAGAAAAATGCCAGAATAAAAAAAATGGAGAAAAGAATCTAGCTAAATATTTTCAGAACATGTCAAAAAACATGGGGTTCCAAATTGTAAATCTGTCGAGACCCATGAGAAGTTACAGTGTGCAATACTGTTATTCGGTTTCAAAACAAATACATCTCAAACTGCCGGTTATGGCTAAAGTCAGAAGGCACCGAGGAGAAAATCATCCTTAAAATGGAGGGAGGAGAAAAAAAAAGCTAAATGCAAGCTCTTCTAGTTAAAAACAGGAAAATCAGCTGCGGCGTTACAGAATGAGCGGAGATACGTGACTGTAAAACTGAAAATTCTAATCAGTCCTTGAATTTATAGAGATTAATTCATATGTGCATTTGTTCCTATGACAAACCTAAACTACCATGTGATATGAAAGTTCTGTCCCAAGGCCTTAACGTGGTTTTCAATTGAACTTTTGCAGTTCTCAAAACCTGCCCTACCTTCTGCTGCTGAAGAAAAGGTTTGTAGCCATAAACGTATGGTAGTAGTTCTGCAAGCAGGAGAACCACATGGATTTCATATGGATTTATGTCTTTAGCTATTTCCCATAGATTCCCATGTGAATTCTCTGAAGTCTGCTAACAGCTGAGATACAGCAGTTTTGCTTTCAGCAGAGGAAATAAGACTTAGTATCACTGAGAGCTGTCTCAGAAAAACTTGACTGAAATGGGTCAAAGATTTCAAAAGTTATTAGAAAGGACAATCAGACAGATCAGACAGAATGAATGAACAGCATAATTTCCTCAGGAAAACAGGTTATGAAACAAGTGATAAGGCTGGAAATCAGAAATAGTATGCAAGAAGAAAATTAAAAATAATGGTTTAATAGCTTTTAGTAAGAGACTCTCACATGCAAAGGTTTCCGATTATACTCTAAGTAGAAAATATGGAATTCTCATATAAAATTAAAATAGAAGCAGTTTTCAAAACTGATCTTTACTGGAATAGCAGAGTGATGAACACAGGAAGACAATTCAAAAAATTAAAAATTATGTTTTTTATTAGGCATTTATTGATTGATGACAATGTTTGTATTTTAAAATTAAGTTGGTCACATATTTAGAAGCAATATGTGGACATATGGATATTTCAACTGTATTTTTATTGTGCAATGTGAACATTCAAAAATTTTTTTAAACACAATGAAACATTTCACTTGGCCAAACTGTAGCTAAAAATTGATTGTAGATGTAATAAAAATATTTCATTTTCTATTACTGATTTCTCTGGGTGAAATTATTTCCGCTTAAGGCATTGCTATTTCTAAAGGCTTCTTTTAAGACCTGCCGTTGCTTAGTTTGGATAGACCACTAGGTAAGACCAGAAAAAATAATGTAAAACTATCTAGCAATTAATGTAATTACAATTTCTCCTAGAGTGGTTACTGTTGGCCTAATTTTAACTGTAATAAAAATTATGAATGCACCAAGCCGTAACATTCTTATCTATTACATTTTTGAATATGTTAACTGAAACAGCACTGTGAACCATTTTAAGAAACCACTTTGAGAGACTTGAGAATTTTCCTTGTCGTACTCATTTTTCATAAATGCTACCTTTCCTTCTCTCTACCCCGCCTCTAGCCGATTGAAAAGATGGAGTTTTTAAGTGCAGTGGTGCTGAGAAGCAAGAAGAAGAAAAAGCAAGCTGCAGGACCAGGAAATAATGCAGTCAAGTGTCTTATGAGAAGCGCTCACAATGCAGATATACCTGTGTAAGCTGTATGCGTGTGGGGGATAGTTAGTTACCTCCAAACTGTGCTGAAAGGCTGTAATAACCCATAACCTCTTGTACTATTCATGAGATTACAGATATCAGATAAAGCGTGATTTTCCTCAAGGATGCATTTTTATACAAGCATTTTCAAGTTGTATTCGTTCTTACCTGAAGCAGAGCTGCAAACAAATACACTGCTATAAAGATGGGAGTTAAGGAAGTATGACCGCTTTTCATTAAATGGATAGTGTACAGGAAAATCAGGTGTCCAGGAATCACCAGAAGAAGCAGAACTTGGGCTGATTTGTTATTTACGCCTATAATAAAAAATCCAAAATGCAGTTTAGCTCTTCGATTACTATATTTTTTAACCACTTTTAATTTAAAAAAAAAAGCAGCTTTGTGGAACAGCAGGCATTATTTTCCTCTAAAAGTCTCCTTGAGGGTTTCCACTGGGGGAAAAAAGGCAGCTCTAGAGTCTGCTGGGAAAGCTAAGCAAGGCCCTTCCACAAAAGTGTACAAACTATCTGCTTTGAATGAGTACATTTCCTACATCCATTTGGGTTCTGTACATATGGATTACCATCTAATTTTTTGGAGCTGCAATGACTTCCTACAGTGTTCCTAACAGAGTGGATATTTTGGACCCCATATTCAAGACTTACCTCAGAAGATTCTTCCATTTCTAAAAAAGTAGTCCCATATTTACCACTTTCTTTATCTGCCCCAACAAATTTCATAAATATGAAAGTGTAATAGACGCTACTGCAAAGTCAAATTTCATTATAGTTACTATATTATTAGGAAAGGGGGCAATACTAGGGAGGAATAAGAAGGGAAGCAAGAATCTAGGAAGGAAATGGCAAATGGGGAGTGGAAAGCACACACTAAGCTTAGTAACTATGGTAGAAATAGTTTGGTCCTAACAGGATGTTGGTGTGAACTTCTGGAGTTAGACAACAGAAGTTAGGAGCAGGTAAATGAGCTAAGGCAAGATTAACTTTGAAATCCTTGTAAGTGGGTATCCTCAATTTCCTGCCCCATCAATCCTCGCCTTTGACCCTTGTCTTAGTTATAACTTTCTCCCTGTTAGTCTCTGTGCATCCCCTCACCCCTCACAGGCAAACATCTGCAGGTAGAGGAAACTGCCATACCTCTGCCGCCTTTGAATCATGTACAACTTATTTTGTTGCTTTGTTTCTCAGTGGAGGTACTGGGAGCATACAGGGAGAAAAAAGAAGAGACATGAGACACTAGTTTTGACAATTAACTAATACATACCTGTACCATAATAGGTTCTGCATGGATAATAGCAACCCTTTGCTTCTTCTGGCAGTTCTCCGGGAATGCTGTGTAAATGGAGGTAGGTAGAAATTCTGCTGGCTTGAATAGCTACTAAATTACCACCAATACCTGAAATACAAAAAGGACAAGTGGTAGACTTTCAATTATTTTTTTCCTCTCATGGGCAATGTTTTTGCAAATTTACCAATTTCTTTTATGTTTAGCACAGCTAATTAAGTACAAAAGTCAAACAGAAAAACATCTTTAGAATGTATGTTCCTTATCGATGGGCTAACACCAATCATTAAAACAACGGAAAAACAGGCTACAGTTTCGTGCATCACCAGACAGGAATATTTGGAGATCAATTTTAATTTTTAATAAATGCAAAAGATTCCCCCAAAAGGTTCAATCTGATACTTTCTTGTAGGTGAAGCTCCCTTTTCTTCATCAATCCCTCCTGGAACAACAGAAGTACTACAAAGCTGTGCCACTGCTGGATTACCTTCCTAGGCCAGTATTGCTGGCAAGTATAAATAATACAGAGCAGACGCACTATCACAAGCATAAATGTAGGCTTCACAGAATCACAGAACTAGAAAAGTCTTCAAGAGATCATCTGTCCATTCCTCTTTGCCACAGTGAAAGATTAACCATAATCTTCTGCCATTCATAATTCAGGTTGAAAGGACAAGTGTTTGCATAACTAACTGATCTTTAAAATAATGGGAGTGATGGAAATTCTACCTTCTCTCTGACCACTCTGGATATGCTTGCCATCAGAAAAAATATTTCTATGAAACAACTTTGATGTTAATTTCACTTAACAAATAACATAGATCGACACGGCACAGTGCAGCGGCATACAGAACATACCCAAATAAGCTTGGCAGCAATACAGCAGTATTAGCGCAAGCAGAACTCTCCCACAGCTATGAGGCTCTAGTACTGTCTACTTCCATATCAAGTACAAGCTTTTTTTCCTCATATTCTTTACAGAGCAATTATGATTAGGCAGAAGTAAACACAAGAGTTAATACGGATCTTGTCCTACTCAGGAAAGAGAAAGTCCTTGTTTATTGTGGTTGAACTGATTTGTTTATCTGATACTTTGAGCTTTGTTTGGTTGCAAAACAAGTGTCTGTGGGTCACCAGAAGTCTTTGTTTGTCAGTTCTCTGTGGGGACGTGCTGTGGTTAGCACACAGATCTAATACTGAGAACTCAGTGAAGATTTCCTGCCTCATCACTGCTTAAAGAGACTTAATGGCAGAACCCAAGGAGAAAGTAGGGCTTTGAAGCAAAAGGTTCACAATACCAATTAGGAAATAAAGTATAAGCAAAAGGCACTTGGAGTTGGTGGAAAGGACTGATTATCAAAGAAAGCTGCATCTACCTAGTCAGGAAATATAGGGAAAAAAATGTGAACTACCAAAAAAGGTATGTCAGTCTTCACAAAGAAAATTAAAACAACAATAGATTTTTTTCAGACAAACTACAGAACCAGAAGTAAAAAAAAAAAAAAGAAGTCAAAATAAACTATAAAAGAGAGGTTCAGATTTAAAAACAATCTAGGTAGTGTCCAAAGTCTATCTTTTGTTAGTTTTCATTATGGACAATGGTATTGAGACTACTGACTAATGAGAATAAAGTATGGAAAGGGAAGGAGAAGTAAAGTGAAGGATCAATGCGCTATATTCAGATGGGGATCAGATAATTTCTGTCTGAATTATGAAAAAGCTGTTAAATAAAACTGCATCTTGATAAAGCTATCAAGCTGGGTATTGTGCCCTGTAACTGGAAAATATGAAACAGTTCCTGCTTTAAAAAGATGGAATAAAAGCAACCTGGGTAACTACAGGCAAGACAGCAACTGTAAAATCTAGTCCAAACAATATTAAGAGATAAAATTGGTAAAATCCTCTTTCACAATCCCTATCTTTTACAGTATTACGAAAAAAAAATAACAGAAATAATTAGGGCTATCTTTCAAGGTATGTTTTGAGCCTTGTAGCAATGCAACTGTCAAACGTTGGCATAGGAAACAGATTTCAAGTATTGCCTAGGACATATGCAATTTCTGCTTTTGAATGATGATTTTCAGATCAGTTCAGTTCATTCAAACAGAAATATGATAGATGATCTGGACCCCTTTTCCCTAATTGACAACAAAGGAAACTGAGTATGTGAGGGAAAGAAATTAAGGAAAAGGGAAACCTGTCCATTTAAAAGGACGATAAAGAAAGCATCTGGACAACAGAGACACAGACAAGATTGCTTTTCAAGCCTCTGAGGGATAGCTATTCATTAAAAATCTTTGTACTTTTATAGCCATCCGTTGGAGAGAGAAAGTATACCCCAAACACATTTGTGCATGTAGGTAAGAAAAATGACTTAAAAGCAGTAATAGTGATTCTATAGCAAACTGAGCTGCCATGGGACACTGGTAAAAAGATGACGACATCTGCTCTGCAAAGGAAGCTGACAAGCTAACCAAAACAGCTAATGTGGAGTGTGATTTCAGGAGATGTTAACATTGTCTTTTTAATTTTCATTTTAGGTAAGTTGAACATGTATGATCTGTTTTAGCTAATGGGAAAGGAAACATTCATATGTTAAGTAAAATTATCTTAAATTTAATTTGGTCTGATTCTCAGTAATCTAAGATCACTGGTATATGGATAGTTTTACACATGTGTCTTCAAAGAACCTCACACACTTTAAGCAGGTGTACTGAAGTATAAAAATCTAGAATCTATGCATTCTGCTCAGTCTCCACAAGCTGACAATGTACAGTGATGGACGGCAGCAGTCACATCATCCTTAGTTCTGTCTATTCACCTGTCAACTCTTCCCGCTACCTTTTTTTTTAAACCTTTTGGCCAATTTCAACCTCATCTGATACAAGGATTCTTAAAGATATCAACTACCTCCAAGTATGGTTAAACAAGACAACGAAAAGGAAACAGTGGCTTAGTAAAGAGAAAGATTCAAAACAGTGCTCCGTGAGACAAAGGCAGTAATACCAGCTGTATACTTATCAGTATAACCACACCAGCTGTCTAGTCAGCACATGCATAGCTTGGAGCCAGGCATGATGCCTCTTGCTCAGCCAGTAGTTAAGGGATGTGGAAGAGGAATGACAGTACTGTGCAAAGTAGAGGGAGGATGGAGAGAACATTGTGAACAGCAGATATTGCAGGGACACGAGTTCATAGGGAACACTGGGGACAGAAAGGGTTATCTGGTGCTCTAACAACACAGGATACAAATCAGTACAGAATTGTGTCTCATTATTCTGCTGGTCAAGTCATAGAATGACTTGTATATAGCTTTATTTGCATTAAAAGTATCCCTTTGACATGTAAAGAGATATTCCGTTTGTTTTTCTCTAATAGAGGTTACTGGGCATGTGAAGTTATCTCAGCAATATTAGATTAATCATATCCCTGTGAGAAGCAGAAAACAGACAGAACTGCATAGGTTGACAACATGCCAACACACAAAACTGGTACCTTCTGAGCACCTGAACGCACAACATGGTAGTGTGCTCAGTAGCTGCCCGTATTATGAAAAACTCTGAGGGCAGGTATGTGGACTGTTTCCATGAATATTTAAGTCATAAGATTTTCTTCCTGGAAAACAGTATTGTAGTCATCATAGCAAAACCTCCACTTTATTATAAGGACTGACTTAGTTAGCTTCTTCTCATTCTCATGAGAACTACAGCACAGAGGAAACTAATTTCTTGCAAAAGTAAAATCCTGCAACTGTTACTGCCTTCCTCTCAGGCCAGCAGATGTGTTTAACTTAAACACGAAAATACTACTTTGTCAATAAGCAGAAGGGCTGTTGTCTAGTAATGTGTGAAGGAAGACGTGCTGGCTTACAACATTAAAAAGAAAATTTAAAACCTCAACATTTTATTGAACCAGTCACGGGATTAAGAAACAGCCTCTTTTCTGCAGAATAAATATTTCTTCTGAAAACTGTTATCACAGTTCTTTTTTGTCTAACAAGGACACAAAACCATATTTGAAGTAGAGCCAAAACCATGTCATCTATTTGTGACTATGTTTACCACTGTGATTCTAATAATCATTATCTAGAAAAAGGACTTTTTTCTATTAGTAGAATATATATATATATATGCATACTCCAAACCACATTAAAATACTCTGCATCAATACATCTTAAAGAATATTTCAAAGCAAATCTGTCTCATTACCATGACTAACATTTCATAGGTAAGAAAACAGAAGCTAAAGGAAGGTAGATGGGTGTTGCTGATGCAGACCAGCTATAGTCCATTCAGTGCTCTGCATAACACACCAGGCTGTTTTCTTCACATGTCTTATACTGCATGCTTTAATAGACAAGGTAACACGTCCCACAGAAAAAAAATTCTGTGTAAATATAATCAAGGAACTTATGTTTTATCATAGGTGCACGATGTTTGAGTATAACATACTTGACAAATATACTTGCTCGTCCCTTTCAATTCATTTCATTTGTTTAAAAGGTATACTCATTCAGTGATTTATGTACATGATATATTTGTCTATCATTATAGTTTACATACGTATATAGATAGATAGGTAAATTGCATGCACACACGCACAGTACCACTGTGCGTGGACATACTAATTTTACTAAATTAGGCAGTTAGCCAGTCCTAGATGTTCACAAATCCTGTGCACCTGGCAACAGCTTATGCTTTCTGTATTAATCTTAAGATTATTATCATTGTTATTTTTAACCACACCAAACCCAGCTTTCTCACTTACAGGGTGAAGGCACTCACTGCTTGATGATTTTATTAAAAAAAGGGCAAAGCCACCTCTTCCTCTCAACTCTATTTCAGCTATGTTTCAAATGAACAGAGCAAGCACTATTTACTGCTTTTAAAGAAGAGAGGTATGCGTTTAACCTTAGAAAAGGATTCTAAATTTTGAATCTTGAACAGACAGAGGTACTTGTTTCTTGCCCGACTTAATTGGCAAAGACCCAGAGATGCTTCTGCTGACTAGCTCAGGATGGCTCTCTGCTGGAAGAGGACTGTTCTCTTCCAAGATATCTCACCTTCTTCAAGGTCATTGGGAGATACTTAGTTTCTCTGCAGGAAGCTACA